TTAAAACGTGTGAAAAGTAAGTGAATGTGACAAATAATTGCAGCTAAATGTGTAGATGGGGGAGTGAATGTAAGGATAATGAGTGAACGAGAAAAAGTAGCTAAAATTTTGCATGTGAGTAAATGTCAAAACCATTTTGTTGTGTTACGATAATTGAATGTTGTTGATAGATTCTGTATATAGTGAATATATTTGCTTGTTGTGTTGTCATAATTGAATATTTTTCACACATTATATATATATATATATATATATATATATATATATCAGTGATTTTTTTAAACTTTCTTGTGTTGCAATTTGAAACTTTTTGATAAATTATAAATTTCTTTTTAATTCATTTTGTTCCATTAAAATTTTATATTCACAAAAAAATAAATTAACGTTTTGTACAATTCAAATTTTATATTGAAAAAAAATGTTCGATAAATTTCTTTAATTTATTAAAGCTAACCGAGTTAATCAATTTTTCCTTAATAACTGCTAAGTAGCACGAAGTTTGTTTTATTTCCACATACATGATCACACAGAATGACACATATGTTCACATATTATTGGGAAAAAAATAAGAGACGTTAACATTTATATTGAAACAATATATTTCTTGACATTTCACTCATTTCTTGATATTTAACGTGTAGTTCTCGACATTAAATGTCTGCTAATCTGGATACTTGACAGTACATTTGTATAGAACGATATTTCAACTAAAGTATAGGATTTCTCCACATTTCATTAGAACATTGACATCTCCTTCTCCACTATATGAGATAATAAAGTTATAAACTATTTTCAACATGCAATATTCGAAACATGTCACTAACTTATAAACCACCGGTTTACATCCACAAAATATTACATACCACCATATAAACAAAAATATGCAAACCATTGTCTAAACCAAAATACATTTTCCATAACATAAAATATTACATACCACCATATAAACAAAAATATGCAAGCCACTGTCTAAACCAAAATACATATTGAAAAACCACCATATAAATCAAAATAGGCGAACCTCTGAATTCTACGCATCCCTCTTACCCCTCTTGCGATCAGATCGGGTGTATGGCGTCTTTGTGTTTGCACTAGCCTTCTTCATCCTCAACGATCGAGGTCTACGTGTAGGTGGATCAGCTGCCATCGAAGGTCTACAAACGACGCTATCATGAACCAGTTGATCATCAATGGTCACACCAACTGTAGGTACAACGGCTGGTGCCTCTTTCACAATATCACAAGTAACATATACTGACCCAAGTACTCCAATCCCACCTCCTGATGTTATGGACACATCAGGGATATTGCAAACAACTGGTTCGGTTGCCTCTCCGACATCCTGTCTGTCCGCAGAAATATTGGGAGTGAAAACATCATGTCGAGCCTCGTCACCACTGCGATCGTCATGACCAAATCCACCATACTCAGCACCAACATTGTGTTGTCCAATTTCTATAGCAACTTCATCAAACCTTCGTCGAAGAACATTCATCTCATCAGTGACATGATTTCTCAAACCACACACATGACCCCCCAAATCATTTTGGAGACTAGCGAATCTTGTGTTCATTTCTTCCCTCAAATCCTCCATCTTGCTCTCAAATGCCTCCCGTTATTCATTCAAGATAACTCTTATCTCATCTAAAGACATAGGTCTTTCAACGATCGGATCTCCATGCTCTTCTTCTCTGCCTTCAACGAGATGCAAACCTCGATGACGAGGTCCACCTTTGTTGCCTCTCTGGGATTTATTTGGTCGATGGTTGTTGTCATCGTTCCGTATGACATCATCTTCAACTGGACAAGCTTGTATTTCTATTGATTGAGCAACAAGACCATCTAGAACGGGGTCGGCTGCGTCTTCCAACGGAACTAGATCGACGAAGTACGGCTGCAATTCTTTTGCAGCAGCTGCTCGCAGCATTGCCTACAAGTGCACCTACAGGAGAAGAAAAATAGGCGAAATGAAAAAATATATATTGCGAAGAGTAAGACAATTAAGTATGTAAATCGCCTACATTTGTCTTCTCAAAAAAATCTGAATATGTTCGGGAATGAGGTTGTTTCGTGCCAGACCACCGCAACATCCTCGGGACATCGTCACAAGTCTTACTTGAGAATCGAGCTCCTAGCTCCGAAATTGCCGTGTACGCCCAAATCTGCATGACATTTGTAACAGTAATAACCATATTTGGAGATAAATAACAATGAGCGATGAGAAGAACTGAAATGAACCAAAATAGATGTATACATGGACAACAAGAGGGAATCCGTACAATGTGTAAGTCATCCTATCACAATCATTCACTTTTACCATATCCGCCTTTCTTCCGCATCCAGGTAGTAGTGATTTGATGAGAAGTTGAAAACATACTGTACCCCATGGATAGACATTGAAAAAATTCAAGTCGTCAACGATGGAAAGAGTTGTCGAATTTATTCCTACATTTCGATCTCTTGAATTAAATACCCCTTCAATAATTAGTGCCAACCCAAGCTTGTAACGATCATTACAGTTGGCACATTTCAAAAAAACTTTCTCCAGGTCGCTACATGTTATCCGGTCCATATTAGAAAATATTTTATCTTGTAGACGGGTTTTTTCTAAGATTTTGTCAACTTCGGCACCTTTAGGCACTGGACTGCACTTCAAGCCAGAAATTAGTGCGAACTCCGGCAGTCCAAATCGTGCAAACCTTTGGTTCACCTTGAACCAAGCCTCAAACCGCTTTCGGCATACCACCGATCTGTTTACCATTTAATGAATTAATTGAGCAAATAGTTTCAACTCCGGTAACCTTGCAACATGTCCTATACAACTGTCCTTCAACGGACGCTTTTGCTGTGGATCCAATTTGTTGAGGACAACTAATATATATTTTGTGTTGCTCACTTGCGACACATGGGCCGAATCACGTTCTTCCTCCGAAATTTTATATCGGTGTGTCATACTCATCTACAAATCAAAACAAATGAAAAAAATATTTTAACAAATAGTATGAGAACGTACAAATGAAATCAAATATAACATTCTTGTTAAAATGCAGTGAAAGAAAAATGATTTTTACAATACAATGGTTTGATAAAATACCATATCTAAACTAAGTTGTTTAATTGTTGAAATTAAAACAAACATGGCTTCTGATCTGAAGCTATCATGTAACCATTTTGTAGTTGATCACCATTCAAACAGTTCAAAAGTATACACACAATCTTCTACAATTTCATTAAGTTAATTGCCTAATTTAGATATGCAAATAAACCGAAAATACAATATTCTTTAGCATAATAAATAACAACAACATAGCCTTGTATTAAATAAATTTAGAGCCAACTACAACAGACCATACGCAAAATCAAGTATACATGTTATAAGATTTGATAAAGTTTTCTATCTGCTATCAACCTATCACAATCTTCCTCCATAAGAAACCATCAATATACAAATACAACCCTTAATAAGATGCATAACAAATTTGATGCGAAAATGAAGCCATTTAGTTGTTGATGAGCATTCAAACCATCTAAGAGTGTATAATAGCAACACAACTTGTGTCATTTCATCATGTTTATTGCCTAACTTAGATACGAAATATGCCTCAAATGGAATATTCTTCACTTTTTACTAGTGTTATTTATCATCTAGAAACACCAAATTTAGTTGACATATAGATTATATCTCAAAGCAAAAGATACAATAATAGGGACAATAAAAAGTACAATTATTTTCTTGATTTCTTTAAACACTTTACCTCTTCAACATTTTCGACAGTATCTCATATGTACCATTTTTTATCTCAAATTGTATCAATAGTTAGTATTTGCTCGCCCAATAGAATCGAGACACTCAGTGACCTTGACATCAATTTATATTAAACTAGCTAAATGTTAGAATTTAGGAAGAGGAGAGACTTGGGAAAGTGAAAAAAATAACGACTTACTCTATAGCACTGGACTCTGAAGTGTGGTGGGCAAACGACAACTGAGAAAATAAGAAAGAAATGGATAGACTCGTTGTTGGCGGATTGGGTCGGAGTGAAGATTGAGAGACTGAGAGTGAAAGTTGAGAGGATTTAGTTTAGGGCTTCTTTTATTTTTTCATTCCCCCGCCTTCATTTTATTTTTTTTTTATTTTTTTTTAGTATTTGGGTTGGGTTCTATCAAGTTTTTCATTTTTTACCCATAACCCGATCCAACTCGACCCAGGCATTTAATGCTGATTGATATTTTTACATTGATTGACATGAAAAATGATATGGAAATTTTGAATTCTTGTGTGAAAATAATATTTTCTAACAAGAGTATTTTCGTCTACATAATTGGAAAATGAACATTGACAAAATTATAGACATTTTTGCAAATGACTCACTGAAAATGGACATTACGTGAAATTTCCTCATTTTTTTTTATTTTCTATCACCTTTTTTTTTTTGAATCTTTGTAACTTTTTTTAAATTTGTGTCACTTTTTTATTTTAATTTCTACTCCTTTTTGAATTTTTGTCACATTTTTTAGTATTTATCACTTTTTCAATTATCTTGAAATTTTTATTACATTTTTTTAATAAAAAACATCACTTTTTAATAAAAGTGAGACTATATGTCATTTTTAATAAAAATATGACACTATAATTTTAAAAGTGACATTATGTCACTTTTTCTCTCTTTTTTTTAAAGAAAAGTGACAATTTTTATTAAAAAAAATTAATATTGTGTCGCTTGTTAACTTTAGATAATATTTTTTAATTCCAAAAAACATTTCATATAATTTTTCAAAAAACCTCTAATATTAAGGATATTTTTGTAAATTGCCCTTACTAAAATATCTTAAGCCAGTGCATAATTCTTGGTCTACATCTTACACATTTGATTTTGATTCGAGTATTGAACTTAATTGATTTATTACTTGAATTCTTATATCGGGAAGACGTTCAAGCAAGCAAATGTAATTCTTTGTTCTTAATCGAATCATTCTTATAGATTGGATCTTATATTTCATTCATTGTAGAACTGCTACAATCTATGTATCCAATTCAAAGACAAAAACCCAATCAACATTCATTCCTTCCAAACACCACAAATACAGAATAAATTATGCTGACTATAACATTATTAATACAAAGAAAATCTACTCTAGGAGCTGGTGAACTTGGTGACAGCCTTTGTACCTTCAGAAACTGCATGCTTAGCCAATTCTCCGGGCAGAACCAATCTCACAGCCGTCTGAATCTCCCGAGAAGTGATGGTGGGCTTCTTATTGTACCTGGCGAGCTTGGATGCCTCCTGAGCCAATTTCTCGAAGATATCATTGATGAAGCTGTTCATGATACCCATGGCCTTGCTGGAAATTCCAATGTCGGGGTGGACCTGTTTCAACACCTTGAAGATGTAGATCTTGTAGGTCTCAACACTCTTCTTTACCCGCTTCTTCTTCTTGTCTCCCGCCGCTGCGCCACCTTCTTTTGGCAATTTCTTTCCGGCTTTCGGTTTTTTCTCCGCGGGAGCCTTCTCGGCAGCGGGTTTCTTCTCTGCAGGCTTCTTCTCTGCTGCCTTTGGAGCCATGTATTTTGATTTTCAGAGGGAAAAAGAGTGCCAACTGATTGAGGAAATTTTGGGGATGAGGGTAATGCGAGACGGGAGCAGATTTATATAGGGCTGTGAGGTTGAAGTGTGATTGATTAATTTTACGCAACGCGGATCGTGGGATATCAGTCGTTGATTAAAGAGAAATGAAACGGTGGATATTGAATGGGGATACTTTTGAAATTTCGTTCTTCCGCGCTAATTTGAAAGTGAGGCGCCTATTTCAAGAAAAAGAAAAAATAAAGTAGAGAGCAATGAAGAAATCAATGAAATATATCAATTTCAAACCCCAAATTGCAAATTTCATTGCATTCGAAGAAAAAAAAAGTTAAGAAGGTGTTTGAGCCCCATTTTTATAAGAAAAATGAATTTTAGAATAGTAAATTGGTGGGAAATATGTGATTAAAAAAGAAGAAAAGTTTTTGACTTACATGTAATATTATTTTCGTGAAGTATGTGTGATTGAAAAGAAGAGGAAAATATGCATTTTCAAAAAAATGGGAATCAAACAAAGCCTAAAATGCTTGTTTAACTTTACTTTTAACTTGCATATTTTGCCCCAATTTGACCCCATTAAATTAAGCCCTTGTTTGAGTCTCCTTATTCCAAAAATTTATTTTTTTAAAAACTCATTTTCAACCATATATTCTTTAATAAAATAATATTACACGCAAATCTAAAATTTTTCCTTAAAGGGTGTTTGGGAGTCATTTACATGTAAAAATGTATTTTGGAATAGTAAATAAATGATAAATGTTCTAAAAAAATTATTATTTAAAAATACATTTTTTCTCCACAAATTATCTTGAGCCCAAACAGGGCTCATTTTAAAATCTGCCAACTTTTATCAATATCACACTTCTAAATAGTGTAGACTCGGAACAATGTTGCACTCAAATAATTTAATGGTGTCAGTTTGAGTTAGATTATCTACATTGTCACTACCGAACAAATATTAGGACCAATGAACTTTGTGTCAACCAATTATTAGGGTGTTACACACTAGATCTTGTGAGACCTATTTGTAATCATCAGCGTGACAACAAAGGTTACATAGGCTTCCAACATCAAGACATGTGATAGGATAACATATTCTTTGGCACGTTTGACATGAAGACACAATTGTCCCTTTCGATATCTCTATCATCCGTGCGGTCTTCGCACAATCCTTGCATATCGGCAAATATACATTCGACCTAGGTGAACACTTTGATAGTTATGAAACAATTGGGTAGCTTACAAGCAAAGGTCAGCATGGTGCTCGAATATGGTCTTTAGCACGTTTTAAATATAAAAAATATAAGTAAGGAAATTACATTGTCAATTTCTTAAAATCATCACATGTATCCTTGAGATCGAGGAAGATATCATAGGATGAGTTTCTATGAGGGAGCCTAGTTGCAAGAGGAGATAAAAACTTGAGGAAAACTTATTTTAATTCAGTAAAGAGTCACGCGAGCTAGTGAAAATGTGACATATTAGGTTAAGGTTGCACCCCAAAATCCTTGTTCCCAGAGGAACGCGTGTAATTCTTTAAACTCTAGTAAAATTATGCTTGCTTGTCTCTCTCACAACCAACTCCTACACCACTTTTTACAAAGATTTAACTTAATCGTTGAAGTATCAATATTCTTGACCTTTTTTCTTTTTTTTTTTCGATTTCATGACTTGGTGGTAATTGTTAATCACTAGAGTTTTGAAGTCAACATTGGGTTTTAAGGTGTATAGACTTTGTAACTGAATTTAGAAAAATATCTTGGAATTTAATGTTACTTAAAAAATAAATTTTACAATTGGAGGCCATTTTATTCATGGGATTTTCAAGGAGTGATACTCCATTTTGTAATAGTTTTACTTCCTGTTTGTGATTGATTTTGGAGTCCGACTTCTTATTCTCGAAAAATCAAAAGTTATTTTAAGTGATTGATGAATTTTGAAAACTAATTATAGAACAATTTGCACCACGTGGCAGTATAATTGAGAAGTAGAAAAAAATATAGCTTTTAAGATTATATTTTTAGCTTATCCAATTTCTCATAATTAAAATACCAATTTTAACCCTTAGTAGTTTAAGGAATTTTTGCAACAAAGGTTTCAAACCTTTCAAAAATATGGAGAGCTGCACTTTTTTTCAAAAAAAATCAATTTAACAAAATATAGTGTCAAATTTTTTTATTGACTAATGATTCAACCCCTGTTTGATACCCATTTTCATTCAACTTTTATTAACTTTTTAATCACATAGTTGAACAACTTTTATCAAATTTTATTAACAATCTTTTTTTAACCATACCAAATGGGGGCTTAATTTAACCACTTTATACTTAACCTTTTATCTTTTATAGAATAATTTATTGACCAATTTTAAATATTAAAAAATATCAGTCTATCTTAGAGTATCTTCGTCATATTTTCTAAATAAAAATTAATCTTTATTTTAGAGAATCAATCTTAAAAATAAGCTCAAAGGACAAAGAGGATTTTACTCTTTAACTTTTTGAAATATAGACCCTGTTTGACTTTAAAATTTTGGAGAACCAAATGCACTTTCTATTTCAACTGTATAATAACTACATTTCACTAGTTATACATTTCATCAATGTTTCAAATTGTTCAAATTATAGCTAAATTAACTGGCCATTAACATGAAAAACATGTTAAATAAAAAATGAAAAAAATATATATATTTAAAAAAGAATGGAGTTTAGAACAAAATTCTCCCTCTATAGAAATTCTCAACATAAATAGAGAATTTTTTGGATATGTTCTCAACTATTAAAATAAGTTATTGTTTGAGTACCATTAGTTATAATTTTTATTTCTCCAAATTCATTTTTCAATAATGTATTTATTCAATAAAATAATTTTAAACATAAATTTAATTTTTTCCACTTTTTAGTCAAATACATTTTTCTTAAAAATAATTTTATGAAATATAGATTCTCAAAAAATTTGATGTTCATAAAATAATTTTACACGTAATTTTTTTTTTTTTCACTTTTCAGTCACACACACACACACAAATATATATTTAATGAAAGGATTGTACTGCACTACTGAGTGAGGGTTTACAGAACCCCCCACAAGCTACACACATACATAGGAGAATTATTCTTTTTGTACAATTTCGATTGACGAAGGGGTGGATGGATATTTGTGGGGTATTTTTTTAGTAAGGGGAATATTTTTCTATTTGGCCTATCACTATTCATTTTTATTGAAAGATCTACATTACTCTTAATAAAATAATTCTTTCTATATTGCAACATATATCATAATCTTTTAAATATTTCATCTTCTACTTTGAATATGAATCCATTCTATAATCTAATAAATAAGAATAATATGCAACATATATTTCATATTTTCTAATTAAAATGTTATATTCTTCAAATGGTAAATTTATATTTTCTAATTGAGAGATAATATTCTTTATTTTTTCTAATAGATTATTTAATCCTTCAATTGTATATCCTGACATTTATTCATAATCATTAATTAATCCTTATGATTCTTTAAGATCTTAAAAAGATTCATTCTAATTTTAGTAAAAGTTTAATAGTTTTACCTTAGGTTTGATCTGAATTTTTATTCTTAGAACCGAGTGACCTTCGAACTCTGAATCTGTAAACTGCTTCCTTCAACGGCCTCCTGCCTTCACGGAATTGTTACTATTTCAGCTACTTGCTCTCACTGTATCAACTTCTAAAGAATAAAATTTTAGACTTCTGTTAAAGAAAAACATTCTTTTTGCTAAAATAAGAAGGAAACTTTTTATCAGATATTTCAAGAATTTATGGGAATAAAGATTTAGAAGCTCATATTCATATCAAAATATTGTAGTTTTATTTCTATCAGAATTTATACAAGACTTCTATTTGGTACAAAGGGATTTTCAGAAAAAAATTGATTTTTCAATCTGGGAATGGTTTCTTGAGTAGCTATTGCTTACAACTCGAGATTTCAAGATAAGATGATCTTTCTCTATGGCAATGTCTCTATTTATACAAGTTTATAAGACTCTATTACATCATTGAGTACATCAGTAAAGGCACACTTGCCTCTCTATTATTTTCCTCATTGGGCCTACATCTTCACGTGCTGCTTTAACTTTTTATCTAAAGAGCATCTTTTTCTATTATTGCTCTCTTTTTTTTCAATGTCCTCACATGCAGCTGTATTGTTGTTTTCCATACATTTTTGTCAAAGGTGTTCTATTATTGTCCTCTTCCTTCATTTCTTCACGTGCAGTTAGGGTACTTCCTTAACTGGCAGGAATCTTTTATAGTGGTAGAACATCCTGAAAATTGATGTATATCGAATATTGTAATATAGTCTTTTAAAATTTATGATTTTCCATATCCTCCATTGGATATCAACATCCAATTTTCATATTGGCACAAGTATAAGAATTTTTTATTAAACAAATTTTTAGCAATATTGTAAATGGCTTTAATTCCAAGTGTTCTTCTATGTTTGATTCATGATTTTGTCACTATCGAAACTTTTCTATTATTTTCTGTAACATCAATTTGAAAATTGGCTGCAACATATCCAATTGAAATTATGTGTTTAAATGGATAATAAACAACTCCATCATATTCTGTACTTATTGAATAGAATTTCAAATATATTTTCCTTCCCTTGGCAAATATGAATACTTCTTTAATGAATATGTCATCGAATTTCGAAATTTCAATCAAATCTTTTCCTGGATATATCAAATCCATGAATCCATAGCCTGCCATAATTTTTATAAATGAAGGGTCTCCTCCTTCCATGGCTGTTATTTCGGGATAAACATTATTTTTTGGAGAAATGAAATATGAATCACTCATTTTTATTTCATAAGCAATTTTGACTATTTCGACATATTTTTCTTCTTTTGGATCTAAAAGGATTTTATCTTCTTGGTCTATGATGCTGATTGTTTTGGTATCTCTTTTATCTCCATCTATCATAACTTTTTTGGTTAAAATGGAATCTCCTTTGTTATTAGTTGGTATGTTGTCACGTTTGGGTCCACTGCTGCTTCCAGTTATCCCTG